CAGCAGGAAAAGAGGAAGACCCAATATGAGATGGACTGACTCCCTAAGGAGCCACAAGCTTGAGTCTACAACAGCTGAGCAGGGCTGCTGAGGACAGGATATTTTGAAGATCACGCCTTCATAGGGTCTCTGTGAGTCGGAGGTGACTTGACAGCACATTCTGACAATAACAAGCATGTAAAGGGTGGGTGATATCTCTGTACTTATGGCTTGACAGATTTCATAAGCAGACTGATCTCTTTTTCAACAGTAAGGTCTGTATTCTAATCTAACTACTGAGAAATAATGGATCCTGAGCTAGCCGCTTGATGATATTAATCTTGCAGGAAGGCAGTAAGGGTTTGCCTTTGAAGCTTGGAGAACTGAGCCAGTTGTTCTGCGTCTTTGACGCCAGCTGTGCTGAATTTTAAAATTCAGAACAGGCTTCCATGCGAAATTGTTTGAAATCAAGGAAGCAATTGTGATCCCTCATTTTAATGGGCGCGTTTGCACGAGGCCTCCTTTTGAAACAAGCAGAGTTTGGCTTCCATGGTCTGTTTGCTGTCAGGGGAAGAACAAGTTCCTCCGGGTTTTGTTTTTGAAAGGAAGAAAGGAGAAAACAGCAAAAGCGCCAGCCGCCGGGTGACACAGGAGGCCAACCTCGGAGTGCAACCCTGTTGTTTTGTCTAGTAGCTTCTGCTGCAAGCGGGAGCAATCCAGCGGGCGGCTCGCGCATGCCGAGCCAGCGTTCCCACGGATTTTGGCTTCTTACATCTTTGCGGACGCACCCCTGGCGCGGTTTCATTAGTGGCTCAAAGATTCCAGATGTGCACACGCCTGAATATGTGGGGAGATTCTGTCGTTTTGATGTCATGGGAAAAAAACCCTCCAGTGGAGCCAAAATGAGTAAGATGATGTGCAGACAGAATCTGTTTTGCTTTTCAGATTACGGACTCTTATGATTCATTGTTGGTAAGCTGCTTGGTGAGCGGTAGGGACACGGGGAAAGGAAACTTGAACGCAGAACCTCAGTTGGGCAGGCAGAAGATGGTAGCTTTGGTCCCGGGCACCTCGGGTCAGTAAGTGATGGGGAAGACTTACCTGGCTGAAGGTGCAAGGAGGGGTGTAGGCTGGAAGAGGGGGACATGTGATATCCCCCCCAAGAGGCGTACCTGACATCAGCTTTCATCAGAGGAGGCAGCGTGACCAGGGACGATGGACATTGTCCTGTGTCTGGAGGGTCTAGACTACACCTCCCAGAATCCCCTAGTCAGCCCAGGATTTCCCAAGCTCAGGGAGAACAAGTTTCCCCACACCTGGTGCAGGTAACCCACCTATCGGGTTTTGGAATAAGCTGCAAGACAGTCTAAACCAGCCATTCCCTTGTGGTGCAGTGGTTAAACCGCTGTTCTGCAGCCAAAACTGTGCTCACGACCTGGGGTTCAATCCCAGGTCGCCGGCTCAAGGTTGACTCAGCCTTCTGTCCTTACGAGGTCGGTAAAATGGGTACCCAGGCCCACAAGATGGCAGCAGCAATGGTGGAGGAGGCGACGAGTGCAGTGGGAAGGAGGTGGGCACCCATTTTGCCCAAGCAAAACAAAACGCTGAGGGGGGGGGGAAGTTTGGCTCTTTGGATCCCCAAACCAGGCTGCTAACCGAACCACAGACCAGCCCGATTCGTCGGTTTTTCTGGTTCGTGATTCGGGTTGTGCCCATCTCCAGTTAGAAGGGAAAATAGTTACTCCTGGCCCGTTCCAGGGATGTCCGTTCTCCCATACAAGGTCCAGCGCTTTGCTTTCGGGTTGGGGACCATTTTGGGGGGAGGGGTCCCCCCATAACTGGACCCATGAGCTATTGCCTTTCCTATGCCTGTGGGGCTATGAGAAGATGCCTGCAAGAATCCTTGAGCCGAGGAGAGGGATGTGCTGTCAAGCAGCTGTGGCACATGGAGAAGATGACAGTGAAAGAACACCTTTTTGCCTAAGGAGTTTAAAAAGAGGAAGAGGATTAAGCCTCCCCTTGCCCAAAGGTAGGGTCGGCCCATCTGTATGATAAGGGTCCCTTTCATAGACTTTCTCCTGTCTTTGTCTTATAGTCTTTTTTTGGATTATGATGACGCTTGCTGTCTTAGGCAACTGGTGATGCCAAAGCAGTGAATTTTCCTTCCTAAGGGAAAAACGATTTAGTATCAAGCCTGTATAAGCTTTACGCGATCCGATTATGGGATGTGCTGCCATATGGGCGCCGGCAGCGTACCTGCAAGATATTAAGCTTGCTAGTTGGCCTGCTTTTTGAGTGCATAAGTACATTATCTAAATAAAATCTCATTTAAAATCTGGCACAGAAGGGCTGGCATGGATTTGCCTCCCCTTTGGGAAATGGTTTTCATTGTATACAATGTGTATTGTTAAAGGAGGCCCCTTAGGATGTATCTCATTCATTCATTCATTCATTCATTCATTCATTCATTCATTCATTCATTCATTCATTTTTTTCTGGCCTGTCCTCGTTTTCAGAACTATCTGGCTTAGATTGATTGTCTGTCTGCCCAGCACTCATCAACCATTCCTTCCAGACTTTGATATCAAAGAGATCCCCATCTGTCTGCTGAGTGCTTTTTCCCTCTCTTTAATTTGTTGGTGGCCGTTGTTTGTTTGCTGTTGATCTGACCAGTTGTTTGCTAGGTATATGTGCAGTAAAGAAAGCCGCTTGCACAAATCTGTAATAAGCACCTCTAAGTAAATAATTAAAACAAAAAATATTTCTCCTACAAATGTCTCAGAGTGAGTTATTGAGACTTTAAGTGACAGTTAACGAGAAAGGGGTGGAGTATCTGGGGGCACTTGAAGCTATTCTCCTCTTGAGTCTCTGTATTTTGATTGCATAGCCAGAGGAATTTTACCAAAAATTGAAAACTCTGCAACAATGCATGTGTCATGGAGATAATGGCATCTCATGGATTCTAACACCTTAGCACCTTTGGCTTTTAACCGTTTTGAGGACAAATGAGCATAATGTGGTATTTTTGTTGTTGCTTATAGCGTTGTGTTCCAGAAACCCGAAATCAATTTCCTGTTTTTTGGTGCTGTGTGTTTTTCAATCAAAACTTTCCATCGTAGAATGCCAGAGCAGCAGAAGGTCTCTCGGCATCAGCTTAATGAGTTCTGTGGTTTACATTACCTGTTGACATTTCAAATTCCACATGTTCTAAAAGCCACACAAAGGAAGTGACAACTGACAGCTTTGGGTTAAAATTAGTCACCTTCTGTGAGCACTGGAGACATTTGCTCACCGTCACTGAACTGATGAATAACATGCTGAGCTGGTGCAAGTGAGGTTTTTGTGGTCTGTAAATATAGATCAGCGCCACTCCTTACGTTTATTTCGAGCTCAGCCAAAACTCTGATCAGGAGGTGAGATCTGGGCTGTAGCATCCATGGAGGCCACTTAAAAGAAAAATCAACATTTTTTAAAGCTGCCTCCATGGAGAATTCCTGGAATAAGGATTTGAAACAGATAATTCCATCTAATAACAACAGGGAAATGGAAACAGACCACCCAGAAATAAAGGCATGGTTTTTAGACAATCGCTCGGAGGAGGGGAGGGGGGAATGGAGACCCCCCCCCACACACATATATATTTTTGAAGCACATTTTCCAGCATCCTGGCTCTTAAGGTCCTGACATTTTGAGGCCTTGGTGAGCGTGGATGCTGCTGAGGTGAAGGAAATGGTTTAAAGTGGCTTTTCGCAGGTTAGATCCCTAGATGGTGGATTACAACTCCCATAATCCTCAGATGCCAGTTGATCAGGGTTGGATGATGGGAGTTGTAATCCAGTGTTACTTGACCATGTGACTTTGAGCGCAGAGAGACTGTAGTTGGGAAATGGAAGATGATACGTTACGAGGGTAGGAAATCTCGGACCGAATCTGAATGGGATGAAGCGGGAATACAAAGACTTGGTTGCAGATTTCCAGAAATGTGAGTCCGGTGTCCACCACCATTCAGTTGATAACCTGCTGGCCAACCTTCCAGTGATGGACACCTTCTGGGAATCATCATCATCATCAGAACTGCAATGCTGGAAGGGACTCTACAGATCAGTGGTCCCCAACTTTGGGCCTCCAGATGTTCTTGGACTACATCTCCCAGAAGCCTTCACCCCCACCTCTGCTGGCCAGGATTTCTGGGAGTTGAAGTCCAAGAACATCTGGAGGCCCAAGGTTGGGGACCACTGCTATAGATCACTGAGTTTAGCCTCTGTCAAGGAGGCACTGTGGGAGATTCACACTCCCAATGACTATAAACCATTGAGCTGTCTAGGCAGTCTTGATAGGATGTTGCGGATGATCCTTGAGTGACAGACAAGAAGCCCCTCTCTCTAGGTGGTTTCAAAACTTAGAATCTGCTGAAGCTCGTAATCAGTCGTCTTAACTTTTGAGAATCCCGAGGTTTTCAGTGAACTTTCCTGAAGATACAGAGGTGGATTTTTGGAAGTTTATAGAAACGCACTGCAACAAACTGTTGCAGGACGAGGTGGCGAGAACTGGACACTGTTTCAGGTGAAGTCAGAGCAAAGCAGAGAAGAGTGATAACTAAAAGAAAATCTATTGTGATCCGCCTTTGTCCAGAGTTCACTTTCAGGGATGGCCCTACCTTTGGGAAAGTGAAACAGCTGCTTTGAGCTTGTTGCAGTAGGAGCAGGAATTGCCTTTTAATTTAATTTTCTTTAGTAGGAGCTTGTGTGGGATTTTCTGCCTTGGGTGTCAAAATCTGTTGTCTGATCTTGTGTGCTATATATCTTTATTTTGGGGGGAGGATGTTTTCAATCAGCAAAATACGTTGGCTTGGCCTTTCAAAAGTATGATGTAAAAGACTCTATTCCAGCCAGAGCTCAAAGGAATTTCTGGCTGCCCCAGCTAGGGGATTTTGGGAGTTGTAGTCCAAAAAAAAGCGCACCCTTTCCGAGCTCTGATTCTAGCTGTATAAACATTAAAAATGATCTGCTTTGTGCTTGCAGGTGAAAGATCTGACCAAGTTCCTGGATCCTGCTGGCCTCGGCGTCATCAGCTTTGAAGACTTCTATCGAGGAATCTCGGCTATCAGAAATGGAGGTTGGTTTATTTTTTTATGCATCTTGATCAAAAAGAGAACCAATGAGCCAAAAACTTTGAGAAGAGTCCTTCCAGTTCTTTCTGAACCTTTTACACGGAGGCGTCTCCTGCCTTGTGTGATTTCTACCCTAGAGATATTCCAGGTCCCTTCCTTGATGTCTTTTTTAAAAACAGATGAATAGAGATAAGGAGAAGTGAGAGGCTTTCCAGATGTAGCATTATTTCTTCTTCTTCTTCTTCTTCTTCTTCTTCTTCTTCTTCTTCTTCTTCTTCTTCTTCTTCTTCTTCTTCTTCTTCTTCTTCTTCTTCTCTTTCTCTATACTTGCAATTGCTTTCTTCACTGTTGTTTCTGCGTTCTTCTGCTGCATTAGCGCTGAAGTGCATTAGCGTATTATTAGTGCTGGGAAGTGCCATAGCGCTGAACTTCCTTCACCCCCTTTTCCCATGCAGCTGTGTGTGTGTGTGGGGGGGGGAAATGACGTATTCTAACAATGGATGGGCTCTACTGCTTTTGAATTGGAGACAGAAGAATATTTGCACGTTTCTTCCATCTCAGTTGCTTAGGTAGAAGACAGTCACTCACCCTGGTGTTACTTCAGTTGCTTAGGTAGAAGACAGTCACTCACACTGGTGTTACTTAGCAAGCACCCCAAATGGAATTACGGATCTGTTTGCTCCTCTGTGCAAGGGAACTTATTGAACTACTTATTACTTCCTGGCCGCCAGATTGCTTAGAGTGCACAAGTGACGTAGCGTGTTGTGTATTATATTTCCATTGCCTTGTTATTACCAGCTGGCTAGAAATATACAAGGTTTCCTCTGGTGATGACATTTGATATTGCACCTTTGCATGTTTGTAAATATGCCAAAGCCCGAAGCTACAATATATTTTGTACATCAGTTACAATTGATAAAGGGAGTGGCATAAAATCTGAAAAAAAAAATGTGTCAGAAACTTCTAGAAAGACATCAGAATGCCTTTGGAAAGTAGCTTTAAATACCATCACACTGATGTAACTTTGGCGTTACTTGTTATACCAAGGAAGTAACTTTGTACCTACGAGTTATTTTGCTTGCGAGTCCCCAAAGTAACTAGTTATAGGTGAATTATGTTTGTTGTAACTAGTTATTTCCAAGTTGTGCTCTGGTGGTAATCACTTTACAAGGCTGATAGAGTTTGTATGAAATAGTCTGGATAGCTAATACTTCTACGATTTCTTTTTGGTGGTGGTGATGATGAGAATTCTATGGATGCTTTGCTTTGAGTTCTGCCTCTCTCTTTGAATTAGCTTAAAACCTGTGCCAGTTAAGAAGATTCGCCTTGCTTGTAAGTGACTGTAAGTAGAGCAGACGCGTTGAATTGTTTACTGGGCTGGAGCCAGAGAAACCCAGGAAAAATGCAGTAACGGTAAAATTGAGAGTACAAATGAGCTGAAATTATTCTTTTTCAAGACACTGTGTGCATGCACGTCTCTGTGCTTCGCTGCAGCACCTTTAACAACAAAGAGGATGATGTTCTCTCTCCTCTGAAAGTGAATCTTGGTTATTAAACATGGCTTAGCCTTCTCATGGCGAGATATAATTTCAGTTTGCACGTCTTCTGTAGCCCTGTGTGAGTTTTAGTGTCACTTATGTGTTTTTTTAATCTGGTATTTGTTTGATCCTTTTAAATGTTTGTATACTCACTGTGGTTAGCTTTAATATTATATTTTAATGATGTAGGCTGCCTTGGTTCCTTTTTAAGGAAGGGGGGGTAGGGTAAACAACAATAAAATGAATAAATAACCCCAGACAATCAAGAGGGTACATTCAGGGAATAGAACCCTCTCATTCTAAAAACCATACAATCTGTACAACAGACTTTCAAATTCTGGGTAGTAGATAGGTTATGAAAGTTCCCTTGGCTTGCATAATGTCACTTTCTGTTGAAAATCAAATTGTGCTGTTTTTATGGATTTGCATAGTTCCTGTTTTTGCTGAATATACGGAGAGATTGAAGGGCGTCAGAGCCTGAAGACTCACCAGGAAAACTCAAAACCTAGAAAAGTAACTAAAACACATAGCAATTATGCACTTCCAAGCAGATCCTTGCAGCTGTTGAGGACTAGAAACTTGAATTGTGTTTTGAAAAAGTATATCTGAGATTCGAAGGAAGCTGAATTTATTCCCAGTAATGCATTATGTTCCGTGTTGTATAGAACTGTGGAATGCACCCATTTGTCACGTCTTGCTGTGACTCTGGACTATCCTGCTTTAAAAACAGGAGGCTGCTTCAGCTTGGTGAGCGTTTTAGCAATACAGGACTTGAAGCTTTGGAAGGCAGTTCAACAGGATGAGATTATTTGCAGTCTTCTGCCACCAGCCATATGCAGATCAGGATTTGGTGTGCAATCGGTGTCTAAATATTTGCAGAGGGATCCGTCTTGGGAAGGAAGCTTTAGAAAAGCAAAAAAGAATCTAGCACTGTCATCCCCCACTCTGGAGTGTGGGGAGGGGGCAGCAATGAGACCAGGTAGGGAGGCGATGGGACCTGTGGTTGGGCAGGCGGCAGAGGAGGCAGAGAAGGCAGCAGGAGGTGGACACAAATCAGAAAAAAGAACCATTAGTTTTTCCGGGGGTCCATGGTTAACCATGCACCATCACGAACCACCGGTTTTCCGGTATGTGCCCATCTCTAATGAGGATTCCTTTGACTGTGAAAGTAGACTCGTATCTTTTGCTGGTAATAGGGATTTATGTCCCCCCCAAAAAATAACTTTTCCAGAGCTCTGATCTTGCTGGTATATTTCATGTTATGTTCAGTTTATGCCTGCTTTCACTAGTACAGTCGTTCCTCGCTTTACAATTGCCCCGTATAACGACAAATCCGCTTAGCGATGCCTTTTTTGCGACCACAAAAGCAATCACAAAACGATGCTTCCTATGGGCAAAATCCGCTCTGCGATGATCGGTTCCCTGCTTCGGGAAGCAATTTTTCACATTATGACGATCAGCGAACAGCTGATTGTCGGGTTCCAAAATGGCCTCCGGCTGAAGAAAATGCCCTCCCGCTGTTTTCCAGGACAGATTCCTCGCTAGACAGGCACCGAAAATGGCCCCCGTATGGAGCATCTTCGCTGGACAGTGAGTTTTTAGCCCATTGGAACGCATTAACCGGGTTTTAATGCATTTCAGTGGGTTTTTTATTTTCGCTTTACGATGTTTTCGCTCTACAGCGATTTCGCTGAAACGAATTAACATCGTTAAGCGAGGCACCACTGTAGACTAATTTCTGCTAGTTTAGCAGAATACATGCCTGGCCCAAACCAAACAGGCGGATCGTCCAGCATGTTGACCTAATTTTTGTGAAGGGAGAAGCGGGAAGGAAGTTTGTAACAGAGCTGTCAGCTCTTCTTAATCTTTAGAATCCCAACACGAGGATGGCAGAAAACTACTCGGATGTGCAGCTGGGAGGTTGTTCCTTTGACACCAGAGCCTTGAGGGTGGAACGTGGCGGGCGAGGGGGGGGGGAATATCTTTTTCCTTCCACTTCTTTATCATCCCCTCTTTTCTCTCTGCTACTCTGCTTACATTAACTTGACACATTTATGGGAGCAAAGCTAAGTTTGATGGTTTCTGGGTGATTCTATATGATGATAATAATTTACTGAGACGTATCCTGCTCTTAAGAGCACAAGGCAGCTTAGGCATCTGAACGTGTTCAGTTCCAAGGACGTAATTCCTACGTTTGCCTTCTCCCGTAATGCTCGGTCATGGAATGGGGACAGTGCCGTTCCCCGATATTGCTGGACTGCCGTTCCCATGAGCCTTAGCCAGCATGGCAAAGGGTGAAGCATGATGGGAGACGTAGTCGCACAACATCTGGAGGACCACGTTTTGTCCACCTGACTTCGTATACTCTTACACACACAAACACACACACACACACGTATACACATACACACGTAGGCAGATATATACACGTATCTCAGGGAATTTCCCGTTAGTTCAGCTTCTCCTACAGCAGCCCTGATAATCCCCATCTTGCACCTTGATTGAGGCAGGAAGATATGATGACTGGCCCTCGTTTCCACCCCACCCCTGGGGTCACCCAAGTGTTCTTAGACTTCATTTCCCAGAAGCCTTCACACCAGCTGTGGTAGTGGTAGGTTTCTGGGAATTGCAGTCCGAGAACATCTGGGTGACCCAAGTTTGGGAACCAATGCTGAACGGACGCTTGCACACTTTTCTACTAGTTTGGCATTTTTTAATTTTTAATTTTAGGTTTTTAAATATCTGAGGTTTCTGGGAATTGCAGTCCGAGAACATGCTGAATGGATGCTTGCACAATTGTGCGTTCTGTTGTATTTGGTCACTTTTCTACTAGTTTGGCATTTTTTAAATTTTAAATTTTAAGTTTTTAAATATCTATGTCTCCCTACGAAGAGACGTGCTTATCAAAAACCAGCCTCCGCTAATTTAATCACAGCTATAATGGCTGCTCTGTGTTCTTGCTAGGGGTGCTGCTTCAGTTTTTACCTCCTCCCAAGCTCTTAACGTTCGGAAAGAATTAATTAAAATGCGTTGGTTTTCCCAGCTCATTGCATTTTTCAGTAACGATTTTTTAAAAAATGATAATGAAATGCCAGTGACCTTATTTTGGGGTTGTATCTTCTGTTTTCAATTTGTTACTGGGCGATTTTTTTACTTCTTTTACATGACCCCTTTTGATTTAATGATGTAGCAAATTAAACAGCAAATTAAGAAATAGTATATGCTAATAAAGCCTCCTAAAGATTTTGTGCCAGCAAATTAATTTTGAAACAACAACTTAGCATTAAATGCATTCATACTAATTCGGATACTTCTAAGCTTTAACCAAAAAGAACTGAAGGAGACAATTAAGTTTGCAAGGGAGAGAAAAATTCATCCACTCTCTAATGGCTGCTTATTATTTTTTTCCTGTAGCAGGGCGGGTAGCCGCTGGGTGTCCGGAGACCACAATTCATCCATCTACCCCC